CGCATATCTGTATTCCTTTCTACACATACTGCCTATGAGTTGCTTCCAGAATCTGGAAAGGTTGGATGCTTGAACAATTCTCTTATGTCTATTATCTTTACATATTGGTAATGAATAATGATGCTTATTTGTTTATTTTCACCCTTTTGCATTTTGTAGGTTGTTGCTTTGGATGTTTCCCTACCTGTTAAGCAAGCTTTCCATATTCTCTATGAACAGGTAACATTGCATGAGTTATTTCTCTTGTTATGTACATACTCTTTGTGACTTTTCATGTTGTACATTCTATTTTGAAGTTAATGTTTCATGGGTTGGATCCAGTTTATAGCATCAATATCTTGATACCTCCTCATTTACTTTTCTTGTGTTTGGTGTAAAGTAAAGACCTACTTTTTCCACGAGTTCCTCTTGAAGATAGCATTGCACATTTTGCATGTGTTTCATGAGCATGCACTTGTTTCCAAGGAAACTGTATATTGTTACAAAAATGTGATTGCATATTTTGTTGCATTTGTGTAGAACATTACTTCTTAGCAATCTAAATAATTATACGAAATCTCATTTCACCATTGGTTATTAGAGATGTAATTTGAAACTTCGGACCACTCTATGTAGCTTACACAAGCTTGAGGTCAAGATGTGGTCTTTTACATGGCTCCTAAACTTTGTTTCATGGTGAGTTAGTTATATGCCTAACACGCCTTGTTAAAGCATACTAAAGCACATAAACATAAACATATTCATAAGAATTTTTTAATACCACACTCAAACTTCTTACCAATACACCTGTGCTTAATATTTATCAAGGAAAGAGCATCTTGCCATTGTGTTGACGAAAGCTTGTTCTGCTTAACTGAATTAGCCCTTCTCCCTTGTTTTATAATTTATACATGAACAGCATAGTCTACCTTTTTTGTGTGACCCTTCATTAAGTTGTTTGCTTTAAACTAATTTGGGTTTATAATATTGACAGGGAATTTCAGTTGCTCCTCTTTGGGACCATAATGTTGGTCGATTTGTTGGAATACTGAGTCCATTAGACTTCATCTTGATTCTTAGAGAGGTATAGATAGCAATTCAGTTACTGTTTTAGATAAAATGTTTTGATTACATGATATCCATTTTATGTGAATTGTAAGTATCTTATTGCAATAAGAAGTTGTATTTAGTTTTAATTGTATTAAACTCCAGCTGGGGAATCATGGTTCTGACTTGACTGAGGAGGAGCTTGAGACCCATGCCATATCAGCCTGGAAAGAGGGAAAATTACAGCTTACAAGGAAATTTGACACTAATGGACCATTGAATCCAAGGCGTCTCATTGATGTAAGTCCCTTTTCTATTCTAATGATTCATTGTTAAGTCAGATGGAATCTCAACTTTTTTACTTATGTAAATTTAATCATCTTTAAAAAAAAAAAATTATGTTCTCCTTTTCTTGAATCAGACCAATTTTTATGTTGTTTTAATGTTTTTTGAGTGGTGTTAATGTATGCAGGCAGGGCCTCATGATTCTTTAAAAGATGTTGCTTTGAAACTGTTACAAAATAAGGTTGCAACAATTCCAATCATCTCACAGGATGGATCAATCCCACAGCTCCTACATTTGGCTTCCCTAACTGGAGTTCTTAAATGTAAGCAAACTTTTCCTTTAGACCAATTAATGTTTTATAATCTTTTTTTTTTTTTTTTTTCTAACAAAAGCAAGCTACCAATTTCTTTCAGGCATCTGCAGACATTTTAAACATTCGCCTGCCTCATTGCCAATACTTCAACAACCAATCTGTTCGATTCCTTTGGGCACGTGGGTCCCCAAGATTGGGGAATCAAATGGTCGCCCTTTTGCAATGTTGAGAGCCAATGCTTCTCTTAGTGATGCCTTGTCTTTACTGGTTCAAGGTAATTAATAAAAACAAAAAGTTATGTTATAAATAATGTGATGATTAAATTAAAATATACATGATATTGTGTTTGTGTTGTTGGTTTTTATGATTTACTACTTATTTTCCACAACAGCGGAAGTGAGTGCAGTTCCTATTGTGGATGAGAATGACTCGTTGCTGGATATATATTGCAGAAGGTAAATTTAATTCTACTTACTTCACTGTAATATACATGTATTTTTGTTAAAACTAAAAAATATGTTTTTTTTTTTTTTTTTTGGCATTTGACCTTGACAGTGATATCACTGCTTTGGCCAAAGACAGAGCATATGCCCAGATTCACCTTAATGAACTCAGCATTCATCAGGTATGTTTTATTTTCATGTCATCTGATTCCCAATTTGTAGTTGTTGTAAATTGTAATTGTTATTATCAATCAATGTCAAAAATAGCCTTAGATAATGACAAAATAGGAAAATCATGTACTCAAGGAAATGTTGACATGTCTCTTGTGGGCCCTGTTTGTCACATACGACAGACCATGGAACAATGTGCGACAGACAGTGACTGACTCTCTTGTTGTCTGTGTAAAAGACATGAATGCCCTCATCCGGATCATCAGTAATAGTCATAGAAAGCTTTGTTTTATATGTATCTATGAGTATGATGTTGATATTCATAATATCTTAATATGACAGGCATTACAACTGACTCAAGAAGCAAGTGCATCGTATGGGTTTTTTAATGGACAAAGATGTCACATGTGTTTGGGATCTGATCCACTGCATAAAGTTATGGATAGGCTCGCTATTCCTGGTAATTCATCTGCTTTCTTTTCATGCTACATTCTACTTTCAAAAATCTACCAATTGCAAACTAAATTTCACATCTACAATACAATGCCTTAATAAATGAAAACTAGTGAAATTACAAAATTGTATGCAACAGAAAGTAGGATTGTTTAGTAAACAAATAAATGAAAATATGAGATGTGTTATTGATGTTAATTTAGTTGCATGGGTGGCATAATATAATGCATGCAGGAGTTAGGAGGCTTGTTATAGTGGAAGCAGGAAGCAAGCGAGTAGAGGGCATCATTTCATTAACTGATTTATTCAGGTTTTTGATTGGATAGTCCTCCACCTCCTCCCCTCAATATCATATCAACTAAAAGATGTGTATGTTGACTCTTTGGTTGGTATAAGTTTCCAGCTTTTTGGCTCTCAACTTTTCTTTTTTCTTTTTTCTTTTATTATGGTATTAGAGTTTAAAAAGAAATTTCTGTAAATTCAAGAGGATTCTCAATGTTTTTGTTTTTTTTGCCCACACATCAATGTAAGGCATCATTCTCAACTCAACTCAACTCCCACGTATTTAAGCCCATTTCTTACACAGGAACTATCATTATACTGTGTTTAGCATGCATTCAACTTGGACTTTACTTGGTGCGACAAAAAATATTTGAGATTGACCTCAGTGGGACTAAAATCGCAAGAAACTGGTATGAGTAAGAGTAACTCCCATATGTGGAAAACTTCACATATGTGAATACCCCTATTTACATGACATATATAGATAAACACATATAGGGATTTTAGTATATAGATTTCAAGCTTACTGTATTTACATATCATATGCAAACAAATTATACACAATTGAAGGTCTTTGAGCTTCTGAAGAAGAAATTTAGCTGCCCTTTGTATATGTTTCTTGAAAGTTTGTTGCTTTTTGGGTTCCAATTTAGGCGTCAACAACTTGATGTATGTAACAAATTGCTTCTTGTCGAATGATGGTTGTTCCTTCAACAAAGTTCAGAAAGATGGACCTTTTCAATCAAATATGGTTAATGCAACCATGTTCCAGTTTAGGTGTTAATTACAGTTTACAAGCTATGCAATTCCTTTTTGCTGGTTTGGGGAAGATTATGACTATTACAAAACACCCCCTGATGTTCCAAATAGCATACAAATGGCCCCTTCCTTCCTTGCCATCTCCCAACTCCAAAGTCAAACTATTGAACATTCAAATTTCTAAATTTTAAACATATATCAAATCAACACGTATACAATTTTCTGACAACTCTATAAACCGGTTAAACTTTTGAAAACTCAATAGACTAGCACATCCTCATCATCATCATTCTCGGTCATTGATTACTTGCTAATTATATGAAGATAGTTTTACAAGTGTTTAAATATTACAAAATGATCAAATATTATTTTAATTGAAAATTAAGTCGCCACTTGTATACATTTGAATGTGGTTTACTTAATTTAAACAAGATTACAATAAAATCTATCAATCTTTTCAAATTGTTTATTAAAATTAATGTAATCAAAATTTAAAATCATTATTGAGTATTATATTATATTCTAATTTTTAATAAAACAATAATATTACACTAGAAAACAAAATTTACTTAAAAAAAATTAGTAAAATATGGCTAATTGAATGTGGTTTACTTAATTTAAACAAAATTTATGGTTTCTCGAATTTAAATAAATAAATAAAGACAAATTCGGTTTATCCTCTTAAGCATTTTTTAAGATTTAAGTAAAAATTAAACCGATGCTGAGTAAATCATTAATTTAGTAGGTTAGACGTCCAAAATTAATGTTTGGCCTGTAAAATGGCTAAATGGCCGAAGTTTTGAAGAAAAATAATTATAACGGGTGCCCCATTTATCAATCAATAAAAATACTTCAAAAACTAAATAGCCTTTGTAAATATGGTAAAATAATATCTTTTTAACTAACCATTATAAAAAGTCAATTTTAATTGCAAAAATCCAGAAAGAGACCTTTTTTAAAAATGTGGATCATTTTCACATAGGAATGTTGAAAAACCAATTTAAACTTATATTATTCCCATTCAACTCCGATTAAATCGTAATTTCACATGTATGATCAATGACAGTAAAGAAAATACTAAAAGGAAATACACAAGAAAATACTAAAAAGAAAAACTCAATAGTAAAACTAAATATTGATTTCACATGTATGATCTATGACAGTAAAATTCACCTGTGAAAATCACGTCATTTTTTTTTTGAAGTTTTCTTTTGTGGTAGGAATCTTCATACTCATAGCACTCATAATGTAATTAAATAGTATTTTAATTTTATATTATTCCCATTCAACTCCGATTAAATCGGATCTTGATTGCCTTATCAAGTTTCATGATGGTTGTTTTAGGACTTTTTTTGGTAGACGTTAATACACAAGATGCTCTTTTAGTCATAGTAGATTGTCATGATACAACACACGTCACACAAAGTAAACCACATTTGGCTCTTAAAGTTTAAATATGTTTACATCTTTTAATTTTGCAAGTAAACACACAAAATAACGCCACGTCATCATTTCATCTTCAAGCATCTTCTCCTGCACCTTTGACTTCTAATCAGATCTCACCTGCCATAAATCAATAATGGTATTGAGTACATACTGATACCCTTTTCATCAATTTTATTTTATTCTTTTTTTTTTAATTATATATAAATATACCGATGGTGAACGAGAACCAGATATGCTTCGACTTGGGCTCCTATCTCCACCATGGCGATGAGTCTGCTCAATAATTAGATCCACCATCAAAACATAGATTCTATTTGTAACAACACAGAAATAGCAACATACTTTCAATTGTAGCATTGTACTTTACTACTTTGTTTTAATAATAAGAAATCAAAATGGAAGTTTGTTGCTATTTCTTGCATGTAAACCAAAACTTACAGATGATGGTGGTGTAGGCGATCTTGATGGAGATCTGCAAAATTTTCCATAACAGATAAAAGAAAAAAAAAACAAAAAAAAAAAAAACCAATTCATTAGTCACCAAATCCAGAATCCAAAACATTCAACAACAATATTTTCCATATGGTCTTGGATTGTTACACAAAGTTCACCACTTTTCACCATCATCAAAACTAATTCCCCTATTCTATATAAATATTTTCCACCATATAATATCCAGATCCACCCACTTGTTATCCACCACAGTTAATTACCTTTTTCTTATCAAGTTTAGTGGATAAAAGCGAAGTTTGCGCCCAAAATTCCATCAAGAATCCACAAGAACGCCGTGGAATCCACATCTAAAAATTAAAAAACAAGATAACCCTTCACAATCATGGCATCCAAAACCAAGGGCATCCTTTTAAATCCTTTAACAATCAATCAAACCCCACATCCACCTTTTCCATAGCACTCTTTGTAACTAATATGGGAGGGAAAGTTTTGGTAAATAAAGTGGTAGCTATTTAGCAACTATATGGTGAAATTATTAAATATGAAATGAAGACAAAACAAAAGAAATGGGATCATATGTAACCACTAAAAAAAGAAAGAACAAAAATACCTTGAAGCAGATTTAGATCGAGACCTGCGGGAGTATTTCTCCTTAGGAGAATAACTGCATAAAAAAAATCGGTTACTGTACATGAACTGACATAACAGAACAGGTTGTACTGTGTTTGGTATGAATTGGACTGGGACTGATGTCAATGGGATAAAAGTTAAAAGACATAAATGCCCTTTTCATCTCCCTAGTTGCGTTCAGTGTAACAAACTCAGCCCTAGTAAGTTACAAAAAATCATCACAGACCTTCTGCTTCTGCTGTCAGAGGTGTAGCTGCGACTTGGACTTCTGCTTCTTGAAGAATATGGAGTTGGGCTTCGGCTCCTAGACTCATTGTGTCTTCTATCATACTCCTCCACCTGTTGTCAATAAACCAAACCACCAATTTATTGATCATAGCATCCACATGATAAGTTGTTTTACTTGCTGCAAATATAGCGACTTTAACTTTTTACAAATTTTCTTAAATGTTTTTACACATCATATTCATACCCGTATGTAGGCCTTGGAGAAGTGGTTCCGGAAAAGTGAGTCATCAAGCTTCCTTACCTACAACAAACAATAACACGTATAAAAGAGCTGCATGAGATTAAAAGTTTAAAACAACTCTATACTCAAACAAATATATAGAGAAAACAAACCGCATATTTCATATCATCATAGTTTGTATAGTCCACAATCCCCCTCATGCCTGTAAAAACTATAATCAGACTCGATTTATAATTTTCTGAATCACAGAAAGATCAAGTACAGCTTACTTACCATCACGATCACGGAAAACTTGAGAGAAACAAACATCACCAGCTTTACGCATGTGATCCTAAAAATGAAATTTAAAAAAAAAAAATCAAATTAGGGTTAGGAAACACATGAACAAAACTATCTGACCTAAAATGTCAACCAAACCAACCTTCAGATCTTGCCATGAAGCAGAAGATGGTAATCCGGTCACATAAACTGCAAATCATTAGGAAAAATTGAAATGTTTTTGATAGATTATTAGAAGAAGCAAAAAACTAAACTAAGCAGGAGAATAAACATACCACGATAGGCGGTGCGCCTTGATAGTCCACCATGGCTACCACCTCCACTGCTGTGGCGATCTATGGAGGATGAAGATCTCCCACCATGTGCAAGTTCAACCTTCAATGCAAGTAAACACAAAAGAAACCAATCAAAAAACATGATTGAAACTAAGTTATTGATGAATTAAGATTGGTTTCGTTGACTAACTCGTAAGCGTTGACCATCAAACTTATAGCCATCACGTCCACGGATCGCATCTTCAGCATCACGAGGATCTTCAAACTGAAATGAAAAAAAAAGGCGTGATGTAATGTGATGATGAATTCATGAAAAGAAATGGTTGAATAATCGTTTTAAGAAGAATGAAAGAGAATGGGTTAATGTGATATGTACTTTACCTCTACAAAGGCAAAAACAGGGGGTCTAGGAGGAATTTTCAGGTCGATTTCAACAATGGGTCCATACTGTATGAAAAAAAATAAAATCAATATAAAAAATTGGAGAGATCTTGGTTTCAAAGTAAATAATGTGTTACAAAGAGAGATCGGAGAGAACCTTGTAAAACAAATCTTCGATTTCTCTTTCACGAATATCACCAGGAAGATTACCCACATAGAGTGTACGACTTGAGCGACCCATGTTTTTTAGCAAAAAAATGTGATGATCTGATACAATAACAACTTGATTTTAGATAATTTGAAAGATTAAAACTATCGAATATAGGAGGAAATTACTACGAGTTATATCACCAATAATGAACTTAAGATGTAGTTAAGTACAGATACTTGTCAAGTTTTAAAAGATCTAATTTAAATTCTGGTCTGGATAGTTTACATCATTCAACCACAATATTCAAAGCGAATCCTTACAAAGTAGCCAAAAATTATAGTTCTGTAGAAGTTAATTCAACAACATATGAATGAACCTAGAAAGGATGCTCGAGGTTAAAAACCCAAATATAATTTTCTACAAAATATTAAAAACTGCCATATTCAAAAAAATTATGATAATAATAAAATTTAGTTCTAAAGGCCATAGGAATCAACAACCTAACAAAATCGTAATATGCATGATCCAAAGAGGAAAGCAATCGAGCAAGCAAAACCCTAACAGCGATTTACCGTATTTTCAAACTCTATTAACGGATTAATCCATATAAATATGTAAGGAAATCAAAGACGCAGAGTATTTGATCTAAAAAGGTATTTAGGCCGAAATCGATCGACTGCGCTACTATTGCAAAAGGAAATCCCTTCTGAAATCTAGGAGTGGCAGATAAACGAAACGTACTTGTGGAAGGTTCGGGTTCCTTGAAGTGGTGGACAACAAGACAACCTTGAAAAAGTTGATATAAATACAGAAACGGGAAAATATTGTTAAAAAATAAAAAATAAATAATAATAATAATAATAAATGAAAGAGTCATTACACGATGATCCATGTGATTTTTGGGCTTTTAACTTAATTTTTTAATTCAAAATGTATCTTTTATTTGTTTTTGTTATGCGTCCGGTCTCTGTCTAATCTAAAAAGATTATTATATTATTATTAATTTGTTTTCTAATTGATTTTATTATTTATGTATGTATCTTAATTTATTATTGTATATTTATGATTAAACTACCACTATTTATGTCATTACTGGATTAAACTCACCTACCACCACTAAAATAATTTACAACTAACTATCACCAACTCATCCTCATTCTATGCTAAAACAACCACCATCCAACACTAGTCACCGACAACCATGGTCAGATTCCTGAAAACAAATCCAAAATCAAGAATAAAATCTGATGAATCAAAACAAAATAAACCGGATAATCAAAATCAAAACTTGTAATCAACACCAAATTAAACCAAAATCAAGAACAATCGTAAAACCTATTTCCAGAAAATCATGGTGGTGGCTTCGATGAAATGAAGGGAAGGGAGAATTTGGAACCAGAGGAAGGGAGAAGAGGGAACCATATCGTAGTTTACATCTGATGGTGATGGCGGAGAAACCAGATTGAGAACCATATTGGAATTTGAATATGGTGGTGGCCGACGATTTCGTACGCCCCTTGCTGCCTTCAACATATTCCTATCAGATAAAGGATTTGAACCAACCTCGTCGATGTTTAAAAGCTTCCAACTAACATCTTAAAAGCTTCCAACTAACCTCATCGATGTTTAAAAGCTTCGAGCCCATCTCACCACCATGTAAAAGCTTTGAATATCACCATTGTGTAAAAACTTTGAATCCGACTTTTCTGAGTGGTATACGACGATGATAGATTCAGGAATTCAGGAGTTTAGTCTTTTTGGAAGTAGTGTTGTTGTGTTTTCCTATTTCTAACAACGGAAACAATGAATTCCGGTAAAACCTGCAACTTGGAAATGAAATTGGGCATCACCATTGTTTACAAATTGGTAGTTTATAACAAAATTAAGCATGATTTCTCCATCAAAACTTGGTAGGCAAAAGCCCTAATATGGAGCATGATTTTGGTTTATATCGTTGTACACGATGATGATTGCTATATTTCATTTTGGTTTAAATAAACAATCATAGAGGACTATTTCGTTAATAGGCTTATAGTTTATAAGGATTTTTCTAAATTTTTTTATATATACTAAATTAATGAAGAAACTCATTTTTATTATTAAAAAACTCAAAATAAAGATACCATCTACATCATTTTAACTAAAAAACTTATTTCTATTTGCTAAAAAACACAATAATGATAACTTATGTATCACTCTTTTTTTGTAATTTCTTCAATAAATATCATAACTATATATCATTTTTAGAATGTGCTTTTATAATTATTATAGCTCTTACAATACTCTTTGCAACTATTTAACCATATTGACATTTAAACTATGTACCGTAGAACAAGTTAAACTTAATTTTGTCACATCTAAAAAAGCAAAAACTCATTCCATTATCATTCTTTACATCTAAGTCACTTTTTTTTACACCAAATACCTAAATATTCAACAATGAAAGTAGCATGTGACTTAGAAACGCATTTCATACGATACATAATTTAAATGTCAACATGGTTAAATAGTTGCAAAGAACGTTATAAGAGTTACAATAGTTATAAAAACATATGTTAATAATTATATATAATTATGATATTTATTAAAGAAATCACAAAAAAAAACCCAAAAATGATATATAAATTATCTTTGTGCTTTTCAATAAATAAAAATAAGTTTTTTAGTAAAAGAATGCATATGGTATCTTTATTTTGATTTTTTTTAAGTAAATAAATACGAGTTTCTTCATTATTTTAGTATATATAAAGAGAAATTTTTTCATAAAAGTCCTTAAACTTTAACCATATTAACGAAAAGTCAGATCTAGTTGTTTATTTTCAGAAAAATCCTTACAGCTAAAAAAAAACGGCATTAGCCTGGAACAAGGTTATTTTGCAAGTATTTACCGATTTTTTGGGCTTAACTAAAAAAAAACAGGGATGTCGTTTGCATTAATAGAGCCAAACCTCAGGGATATATATATATATATATATATATATATATATATATATAGAGAGAGAGAGAGAGAGAGAGAGATTTTACACAAAAAAACCCCTCATGTTACCGATTATTTACATTAGAGCCATTTATCGATCGATAACAAGAAATACCTTTTACTTTAATTTTTTAGTAAATTACACGAATGATTGATCTCTATGTTCTGGTAATTTGCGTGTCTGTAACTTTTTTTTTTTTTTTTAATTTGGAAGGTACTTCATTTTGTTGTATATTTTATTTCTATCACATGCCAAAAAGCTATTTAACTCTTTTTTTATTATTATTATTATTATTATTATTTTATAAGGTAAGTAAGATCCACCTTCAACCTCTAATCCCCTTTATACTCACACTTTCAATCGTACTTATCTACCATCGATCTGAACCTCCTCCCTCATCGTCTCCAACAACTACCATGGCCATCAGAATACCTCCCCCTCCTTCTCATTCTCTTTATCATTATCTTTATCCCCCTCTTTTTATCGTTATCTTTATCTCCCCTTCTTTCTTTCTCTTTCTCTCTCTCTCTCTCTCTCTCTCTCTCTCTCTTGTCAACCCCAAGAAAACCCTCCAGTCTCATTCTCCTTTCCTTTATCGATCACCACTAAACCATATGCTTGTATCTCTCTCCCTCCCCCTCCTATGTGTGTGTGTCTTTCATGCGTCTTGTTCTTTTCTTCTTCCCTCTCACCCACTGCTCCTCATCTGTCGCTGGTCTCTATAATTCACAAAAAACAATGTTTATGCATTCTCAAAACACCAATCATTGGAGTTTATGCAATCGATCAAAAGGATAAGATACAGATGAAATTAGGGTACAAGAATGAGTGTTAATTAGGTCGATTTTATAAACAACTCCAACATTTAAAGCCTCGCTTGTTTTTTGAACATGTTCATCTGATTTAAGGATATGTTTTTCTTTTGGGTTATGAAAATTTATGAGCATCTTTAATGTTCGGCTTCTAAAATTTTGGTTTTCCATTTGTTTTATGAAAAAAGATGGTTTATGAAAATGTTGGTTTTTGAAAATAAAGTATAAATGAGCTTTTGCTTTACCCGAAAGAAATGAAATAATAAAAAGAGATGGAAAGAAAGCATGCAATCGATTTTCTGAACAACTTCAACACTTGGTTTCTTGAAAATTTGACGTTTATCTGGTTTCAGATTCTTTTTCAAGACGACTATCCCCAAAATTGCAAGAAACATATATAATAGGAAACATGTATCAACAATAGCGATTAGAATAGATAACATTTTTTTTTGATAAAGATGCCAACCTACTCTATCAACATTCACATCCATCTATCATAAAAGTCCTAATAGTTACCCTATAAAATTCCCCATTCAGTTTCAATGGAACTTCTTATTACACAAGTCTCCGATAACCTCTGATTCTCGTTATCATTGTAATCAGGTGAACCATATGAAAGTCAACTGTACACTGCTTGCTATTAGGCCAATGTAAGCACCGGTCTCGACGACATTGCAGATAATGGATGGTCGACAAGGGAGAGCTGAGGCCCTAAACGCCAGGGGTATTGCGTATCAGTCAATGTTGTATTTTATTTTAAAGCATCACCTTGTAATGGTTTATATGAAGCTGTGATGGTTGTAGACAACTTAGGAAATAATGTGTTACATATTGATTCTTCCAATAGTTTGGATAAAGCATCCTTGTGGTATTGTCGTCTTGGACATGTCAACAAGAAGCGCATAGGCCAACTCCAAAAGGCTGGAGTCTTGGAGTCGTTTGACTTGAAGTCGAATGACACTTGCGAATCTTGTTTACTTGGAAAAATGATCAAGTCACCCTTCACCGGTACTTGTGAGAGGGGTGAGGGTTTATTGGATCTCATACACACAAATGTGTATGGACCTTTCAGAACTGCCATAAGGGATGTTAACCGCTTCTATGTGACTTTTACTGATGATTACAGTAGATATGGATATATCTATTTAATCAAGAATAAGTCAAAAAAAAAACCTTTGAAAAGTTCAAAGAGTTTAAACAGGAAGTGGAGAATCAGTTGGGCAGGAAGATAAAGATGCTCTGATCCGATCGGGGTGGTGAGTATCTTAGTATCAAGTTCCTTGACTATCTTAAGGAATTTGGAATTTTTTCACAATTGACGCCACCTAGGATACCACAACTTAATGGTATGGCTGAGAGGCGCATTGAACCTTGTTGAACATGGTTCATTCCATGATGTGTAACGTCCCGATTCCAGGTATGAATTTAATTAAAGAATAATTGGTCTTATGTCCTACTCGGCGAATTGGTTTCCCTACTCGCCGAGTAGCAGTGGGAATGGAACGCGTGTTTAGTGACCTACTCGGCGAGTCCACCAAGGGACTCGGCGAGTAGGAGCTGGCAGATGAAACCCTAAATTCTAGGGGTTTTACACCCTATTTAAAGGATCATTGGCCTCCACCAGCCTCCCCTTACTGCTTCTTGTCCCTCTTAAACCCTAAATCGTGTGTGTGTGTGTTCTTTGGTGTGTCTAAGCTTGAAGGCGTAACCTTGGAGAAGGAAGCATTTGAAGAAGCAAGGAAAAACAAGGCCAGGAGCTCATCGGAAGCTAAGGGATTTCATCAGTCATCACTCTCTGGAAGGTATTAGGTTGTTCTTTAAGCTCTTTTCACTTTGAACCTCCCTTGGATGGGTGTTATGAAGGGCTCTCCATGTTTAAGCTAAGATCTGAAGTTGTAACTTCAAATCTGGACTACCCTTGACCTCTAGATCCATAAAGTTCCCAGCTTGTACAAGGATGAGACTCTCCCAAGGTGTAAACCTCCATTAAAGAGCTTAGATTGATCATTTAAGGACTTTAGAGATTTGCATGTACGTAAAGATTGCAACTTTACGTGATAAACATGCCTTAGGAGCTCGGATCTGTAATCTGGGTCCTTGCCATGGCTTAAAAAGCATCTGCATGGATTAAGAACTGCATGGACTCGGCGAGTTGAATGAGGAACTCAGCGAGTCAGTTGAAGATGGCCATGAACTCGGCGAGTTGGATGAACAACTCGACAAGTTCGTTGAAGATTGCCTTGAACTTGGCGAGTTGGCTAGGGATTCTTCCAAATCTTGGTCGCATATGAACTCGACGAGTTAAAAGGGGACCTCGACGAGCAAATCAAGGATTTCACGACTTCTCGAATTCAGGAAGAACTCGGCAAGTCGGTGACATGCACTCGGTGAGTCGAGTCAACATATACTGTTGACTCTGACTGTGGACTTTAACTTGGACTAAGGGTTGACTAGTTTAATTCTGTTGGTTTCTGGGATTGGGAGATTTATGAAAAAGGTTGTGTGGTACATATAGGTGGTGGAGTTCGTGTTGGACCCGGGAGTTGAGCTTTCTTATTTCCGACGATAGTTGCGAGGTGAGTTATCCTCACTATACTAAGGGGTCTAAGGCACCAAGGCCGGCCCATTGGATATGGTATCCTAGTAGTTGTATTATGTCGAGTATGAGTTAGTTATGCATGCTAGTTTGATACGCTTGAGGGTAGGTCTGTAGGACTACCTGTGATACTAATTGATTTCCTGTATGTGCATTATTTGTTACATGTGATATGTTATGTGGGATGGGTTGAGGTTGTACTGCTCCGTGCGGTAGCCAACAAACCCTTGAGTATTCCAGTTATGAGCTGATGGCCCGA